ATCTGTTTTTCTCTTTGATTATGCCCATAATAAAGTGTTTACCAAGTTTTTACAGTGTGAGCAAAGCTAAAATTAAAACCAGCAGGTGACTGTTGTGAGAAAAACGAGAGCAAGCAAGCTGGAAACGCCTCGCACAGAGGGGAAAGACCCAGCAAGGCTCTCCCACTCCTCACAAATACACAGATACAGAGCGCTCCCAAACTGCCTCTGGGAGAAATTTTGAAAACGAAAACAAAACAGAAAATCTAACAGAACAAATAAAAACTTGATGCCAATGGCATAAGAAGGAGAGAGAGAAAAAGGCCAGGCTTTTTGGTTAAGAACTAAAACTCCTCTGTCTGTTAGGCTCAAAGGATTCTTGCTCAGGACTTTTTGAGCCAAGACAGTGGAGAGTAAGAGTGAAACGGCTCTTGAGACAGTCTCACCAGACGAGGTCAGCCAGGAACCGTCTGCGCCTCAGTATCTGACATGGCCAAAAACACTGCAATTGTGACAAATTCTGAAGCTCTGACTGAGAAACAGACACTGCTTTATATCTTAGAAGATTTAAATTCCCCTTTGGATGCCCCCCAGTAGGATGAAGATCTTACACCCCTTCTGATAGATATAGCACAATAATTCTATTTTATACACTAAAGGTAATTTTAGTCACACTAGTCTCTTAGTAAAGGTCAAAGTACACACCCTATAAATCTTAAGATCCTGCTTAGCTAATAGTGTTTAGGATAATTGTTGAGTAGTCACATAGTCACTTCACTATAGGTAAAAAGATTAGCCTTAGTCACATAGTCACTATAGGTAAAAGGATTAGCCTGTCACATAGTCACTATAGGTAAAAAGGATTAAAACACAGTTAAGATAAGTTGATCTTTTAGCATAAGAAAAAGTCAAGCTGTACCCTGGAGCATAAGAATTACAGGAAGTAAAACCCTGATCTAAACTATGTAAAAGAACTTTTTACTGAAGAGATAATGGTCAACTGCCCACTATAAAAAGGGGCATGCTGTAGAATAAAGTGAGACACTTCTCTTCTTGAAAAAGCGCTCCTGTGTCTCCACGCCTCTTTCTCCTCGCCGACTCTGCCTCCACCTGAGGGAACCCCTGGACCCCGCGGGAGCTGGTCTCCTGCAGAGGTCAGCACTTGGGTTCCAGTCCAGCTCTGAGGACCAGCTGCTCCCAGCCATGTGGTGTCAAGAGCAGCACACTGTTCTCATTCACATTCAACTCCTTGGCTTTGAGAGAGCCCAGAGTGCATGAGTTTCCTCCCCTGCCCCAATACTGAACACCCATGTCTATTGTTTTGTGAGATATCAGCTTAAACGGCAACTCAGAGAAATCTGACACCCCACCTAGTTAGGGCTTCATGATTTATATTGTACTCATTGATTCCATCCATCCATTTCTTCCACCTACTCTACCTTATCCCCTTCCCATCTAATCAACAGGTATATATTTATACCTACTATTAACGAGGCTTTTTGCTCAGCATTGGACATACAGTGGTGAGCAAACATCAAGAAATTCCTTCCCTGATGGAATTTTTGGTGGGAAATAGAAAGGTAATTCAACTAACACAAATAAATGTCCATATATCAACAAGTACACAGAGAGCATAGTTTAAATAACAGCAGCAACAACAAAAAGAATCATCCTGCTACAAACAGAAATAAAAGGAAATAATGGAATACACATGATATTATATTAATAGATAGGACTGGGACAAAAAAGTGGTACAGTTATATTTGGGATGAATATTAAGAAGAGTATGGAATTAGAGCATTAGAAACCCACTAATTCCACTAAATCCATTTTATTCTCTTCTTGAATGAAGGCAAGCAAAAGGGTTAAGCACTCATAAAAAATTAAGGAGAGGAGTAAAATCTAGCTATCTATGGAACAAATTCTCAGGTCTTCAAATCTCAGTTCTAACTCGTTTGAACCTAGATAAGGGAGTTTAAACAAGTAACAGCTTTCCTGAGGCTTGGGGGTCACTATCTATAAGTTGAAGATATTTTCTATCTCATGGATTTGTTGAGACCCTAAAAAGAGAGAATATGCAAGAAAGTCCTCAGAACAGTGATATATACGAAAGCCTTCAATATACTGTTTTCGAATCTGGACATGAAACATGGGCGGATAGATCACAAGTGGGACTGTACAGTGAACCCTAGCCCGAAAAACATTCTTGTTTTTCAACAATACCCTAATAGCAATGAACAGCATACCCACTCTCCAGATATGGGTTTCTAACACTATTCTCCAGTAAAAGGAGCCAGGGTTTTTTTTGGTGAAATGGCTGATTCTAGGAATGGAGCAGGAAATGTAAATACAAGATCAGCATTTTGTGGTGCCAGAAAATGAGGAAATGCTAAAAGTGCTAAATCCACATACACCCACACACACCCACACACACCCACACACACACAAATGATAGGAACATAGGAACCAAACTGAAAGAACTTCCAATGACCATAGCTGGAATAATCTGAGCGCTAAAATAAATAAAATAGTATTGGACTATCATCCAAAGTATAAAATAAATATTAATGAGCCCATACTGATATAAAAATGAATGAATGAATGAATGAATGAATGAATGAGGAGAGACATATCTCCCAAGCAGAAGCATTCCAAATAATTTATGGAGATACTCCACCTTCAAGGAGGTAGATCATAACTCTTGTTCCTTAAGTGTGGGTTGTGGAGACTGACTTCTTTCCAAAAAATACACTGTGGAAAGGGGAAAGAAGAGGTAACCTACAGAGACACCTGATATACATTACATCAGCCAGGTGATGAAGGTTAACATCAACAGTGACCAGTCATGTTCATAGCATGTACCCTTAATATGATGTGATGAAAATGGCATTTAACCTCTGTGATCTTCCTCCAAAAAAAACCCCCACACAAACCCAGTCTAGTCATGAGAAAGAGAATCAGAGAAACGCCAATTAAGGGACATTCTACAAAATATGTCACCAGTACCCCATACTCCTCAAACCTGCCAAGGTAATAAAAAACAAGGGAAGTCTGAGAAACTGTCACAGCTCAGAGGAGCCTAAGGAGACAATGCTACTAAAATGTAAAGCGGTGTCATGGATGAAATCCTGGAAGAAACAAGGACATTAGGTAAGAATATAGGAAATCTGAATAAGGTGTGGACTTTAGTTAATAATGTATTAATATCGGTTCATTGTGACAAATGTATCATACTACTTATAATATTAATAATAGGGAAAAGTAAGTGGGTGTGGTGTATATGGAAATTCTCTATACGATCTTCGTTATTTTCCTGTAAATCTAAACTGTTATAAAAACTTTTTAAAGTTTATTTTCAAAAAAGACAACGTAAACATTCTTGCAATGCTAGACTTTTAGCCTCCCAGGAACAATATAGAAAAGACCCCACACACTTCCAATTAATCCCCTATGGGAGTCAGAGTTACAAGAGCCAACCTGTTACATTTCCCAAAGCCTGAGGAAGAGGTTATTCTGCCCATCTATCTAAACCTGTGTTTGCTTCTTGGTTGTTTCTTGGCTAACATTTCAAACTTAGGATATATTGTTTCTATTCTGATTACTGAATATGAATAGCAGAGTAAAACCATTTTCTCTGTTTTTAATTAGTGACAGTTCTACACTAAAGTTACAGTCTTTTTTATTTGAAATTTAGGATTGTCAGTTGGAATACAGAACTTTCCCACCAGTTCTGTTACAATTCCTCTAGCCTGACATGTTGTCGCCTGCCTTTCAGCATTAGCACATTTCTTTCCCCCTGTGTTCAACATGATACCAATTGATATTTCAAGATTGCATACTGGTTTTATTGTGGAGCCTTGCCTTCCCGGTTTGATTTTCTATAATATAGGTCAGTCAGCACATTATCCCTCACAGCGACAACTTGCACCTTCCTCCCTCACCAAGGGACAAGGCTCACAGCAAGTTGAGCTGAGCATTACTCACTTCCGCAATGAGGGCGTGAGGAAAAGTCACTGTATTACGGTATTAGACACTCACTCACTCAGCAGGTTATTTTGAGTATTATATTACCAGAACTTGAATAGCAACACTAATAACTCACTCTATTAAAAAAGGAGAGCTAAAAGAGTGAAAGAAAAACGACAAAAAGAAAAAGAAAAAACAAAAGAAAAAGGACTTCATTGCTTCAGTGCTTAAGATCTAGTGTAATTTCCTCCATTTTCCTAATAAGTTAACGCGAATAAAACAAAACAATAGGAAACGTTTCCAGGCTTATAAATGTCATGAGCCCAGAATCCCTGAAAATCCTGTTGAGAACCATCCGGTGAAATTGGTTTTGGGACCTGTCCCTCCCGTCACCCGCTCCGCAGTCATTCAGCCTCAGCATCTTTCTACAACAATCGTCCCGCGGGGCGTCCCGAGGACACAGCGGCTGGCTAGCGTCCCCAGACCAGGCTTTACCGGAATGCAGATGTGCAGGTGAAGAGGATAAAAGTAATTCTGGCTCAGCAGCCACGACTTCCCCCCACCCCCGCCCCACAAGTGCCCTGCGTATTCCCGGCACAATGGGGACCCTCAGAAGCCCAGGAAACGTGAACACTGTCCCCTCCTCCGGTACTTTGTGTGGCCCGCGCCTGCCTGCGAGTGATGCCATCTTGCGATTGTAGCATCTTACGAGGAGTTAGTGAGTTTTGCATGCCAATCACGTTCCCGTCTTGGAAAACTTAACCCAACTTTGCAAGATGAGAGCCTGCTGGTGTGGACCCTAAGTTTTCTCTAAGGAGGATTGACCAAACCAGATGCTATGGGCAAGACACCGCAGACCGGGGGCCCCCCGCCCCCGCGCCTGTGCGCACCGCCGTTTCCCGGGTCGCCGGGGGCCAAGTTAGCTGCCCCGCGGCCGACCCGACGCCCAGAGCCCGGAGGCAGCCCTGCGCCAGCGCCGCGTCTCGAGCGGGCGGTTTGGGGGCGCTGGTCCCAGCAGGAGCGGGTGGGAGGGCGGAGGTAACCGAGCAACTTACAGCCCAAGGCGACCACCAGGTAGCGCAGCAGCAGCAGGAGGAGGCGGTGGCGGCTCCCCCTCGCCATCTTCTCCGGGGCCGAGCTGGCTGCTCCTTGGAGACGGAGGGTCCCTGCGGCCGGAGGGCTGGAGGCCGGGCGGGGGCCCCTTGAACTTCTGGAGCCGGAGAGGAGGAGAGACTTGCGGAGCGCAGGGAGGGGAGGGGCGGCCCCCGATGCGACGTCAGTTTCCCCGGGCCTGGGGCGCTTTCTCAGCGGGCTGCCTAAGGCAGGTCTTCGCAGCCCCCGGGATGGGGGGCCTGGGCCTTCCTTTGCGGGGAGGGGCGCGTGCAAGTCGGAGGAGGTGCTGCCTGGGTCCTAACGAAGGCGCAGGAGGAGGCGAGGAGCGGAAGGGAAGCCCTGGCGGGTCGCCCCCTCACCCCCGCGCCGCCGGGATTGATCCGCTTTGTGTCTGGTCCCGCGCGGAGCTGCCAGCTGTCCCCAGGGCGCGGAGCCGGGGGGCGGGGGGCACGGTGGAGGGGAACTCCGCCTGCCTTGCGCCAACTCCCCTCTCCCCCTCCTTGGTACAAAACTTCTTTTTGGGTTTTCAGCCTGGAGGTGGAGATTGGGGGAAATTTTTCTGGCCGTGGAGCGAAGCTGCCGGCGAGGCGCTCCGGAGAGATGGGGTTGGCCGGCTACGCCTTGGACACAAGGTGGGGAAAAGCAATCAAGACTCGTGCTGGAAGGCAGGTCTCAGATTTTCAGCCTTGGCCCCTTTTCAAAAAGTGTAAGCTTTTTGCTCCTTGGGGAGCTAAGGTGTGTCGTTTGCTTTTCACGTGTCAGAATTGGAAGTTCATCTAACAGTGTGAAATATTTATCATGTTTCTTTCGAGTTACGTAACTGCTGCCTGTGGAGTTTTCCACATGTTAAAACTCTACAGCTGCCCTTTGTCAGGTTTATTTTTGGTCTACTGTGCTTTTAAAAGGGAAACCCATTATGCATGCTCTGTTGCATACTTTAAAATTGACCTGCACTTACATGGCCCACGCCACAAAGGCTAAAACAGGCAATTTTTATATTTGCTCCTCGGGACCAAAAACGTCTGGCGCATTCACGAGTATTGACAGATCTGGACAAAGGCCATTCCCAAGAAAAGAAACTATTAGATATCTTTTTTTTTAAAGTAGAATAATGAATAAAAGTTCTGCATAGAAGACAGTTGATTTAGTGGTGTGCACACAAAGAATTTAGCTAGCTCAGTGGACAAAAGCGACCAGAGTTTAGATATGCAGAGCTGTGAGGAGTGAAGCATCTGTGCTGTTTCCTTGGTGACAGTACCCAAGGGCTTAGTACCCAAGGACCCAAGATGGGGAGAGGGGCAGAGGACCCAGTCGGCCCAGAAAGGAACGTCAAAATGGCAAAAATATTAGAGTTCATACTCCAGTTAAGCAAGGAAAGGGGGGCACAAATTTAACAACAGGCTTATGCCAGTTTTTCTGGGCAGTAACAAGAAAGATGTAATGCTTTACAAGAAAAGTTGTTGGTATCTTCTTTTCTCATTCTTGGCACAACTATCTGTCTCTTGCTCCTCCCCCAAGATACACACACAAAAGGCATATTAAAAAAAAAATTCTGTGACATCCCATGTGAATAATTGATTCACTGAATTATTTATTTGTCACCCAGTCAAGGCATTTGTCAAATGGCTGTAATGTGCCAGATACTGACGGACAATGATGAACAAGATTGTGTCTTTGATGCTAACCAGCTAACAGTCTTAAGAAGAGAGTCCCATCTGGAAAGACCTCTAACACCACGTGATAAGTGTTATGGGAGGACAGAAAATAATAGCTGCTTTTTATTGAGTGCTTTCTCAGTGGTGGAGTCTGAATCGTGCAATATTGAATCCCCCAACAACTCTGGAAGGGAGAAAATGTTATCATCCTCACTTTACAGATGAGAAAACTAGGCTGAGAGATGCTAAATGACTTGTTCAAGGTCAAGGATAAAGGGATGTTCCTCTGTTTCAGTGCATGCAGGGCTCAGGAAACCCTCAGGATTAACTAAAGAGATAAATGTAAATACCATCCAGCGTCTCCTAGAACAGTGGTCACTAAGATTGTCTGCTTCTCAGATTCCCCTAGAATCCTTAAATAGGATTCCCTGCTTAATTCTGAGTCGCAGAAGTTTCCATCTTAGGGGCACCTGGGAAGCTGTGTGTCTCATAAACACCTGGTTGGTTCTAATGCAACTAGTCATTGGGCTGGTATTTGAATACCTTTCTAGAAGGTCAATCTGAAAAAAAAAGTAAATATTTATCTAGAGATAAATATATGGAAATAAATGCAATATAAGGACCCATGTAATAAATAAATTAATTAATTAATAATCTATTGGGTTGTTGGAAAAGTCATGATGCATTTTTGCAATGAAAAACATAGAAAAAAATATGTCATGACTTTTCCGACAACCCAATACACACAGTCCTTACACTCTTCACAAAAATTAACTCCAGATGGATCACAGACCTAAATGTAAAATGCAAAACTATAAAACTCCTAGATGATAACACAGGAGAAAATCTAGATGACCTTGAGTTTGGCAATGACTTTTTATTTTTTTAATTTACTTTTTAACTATAGCTGACATACAATATTTTATTAGTGTTATGCGTACAACATAGTGATTAGATATTTATGTACATTACGAAGTGATCACCATGTTAAGCCTTGTACTCATCCAGCCCCAGAGAGCATTATTACAAATTATTGACCGTATTCCCTATGCTGTACTTTACATTCCTGTGACTATTTTTACAACTGTTAGCTTGTACTTCTTAATCCCCTTCACTTTTTTTTGCCAACCCTACTCCCCACCCCTCAATGACTTTTTAGATATACCAAAAGCACACCCTTTAAAAAAAGAAGTAATAAACTGGACTTCATTAAATTAAAAACCGCTTTGCAAGAGATGATTTCAAGAGAATTAGAAGACAAGCCACAGACTAGGAGAATGTATTTGCAAAAATCATATCTGATAAAGGACTGTTATCCAAAATATACAAAGAATACTTAAAACTCAACAGTAAGAAAAAAACCTGATCAAAAAATGGGCCAAAGATCTCAACAAACACCTCACCAAGGAAGATGGCAAATGACCATATGAGAAGATGCTCCACATCATGTCATCAGGGAGATGAAAATGAAAACAATGAGATAGCACTACTCGCCTATTAGAACGGCCAAAATCCAAAACACTGACAACACCAAATGCTGACGAGGATGTGAAGCAACAGGAACTCTCATTGCTGGTGGAAATGCAAAATCGTACAGCCACTTTGGAAGACAGTTTGGCAGTTTTTTACAAAACTTAACATACTCGTAGCATATATATGATCTCTTTCTACCATCAGCACTTCTGACACCAAATATGTAGGTTTTGTTTCCCTCACACCAACAAATTCTCCAACTTTCCAGACATGAAGAGGGTTCCTACAATTCAACTCAATTCTGACACTAAATGCCCAGAATGAGTGCAGACCCCACAGATTAAGGGCCATCACTTCATATGCCAGTCCCAAGTATTAGGTGTTCCGGATACCCACACTTCTGTACAACTTGATTACAAAGTTGTGAGTTCCCACAAATCCCTCCTTAGGTTTGATAATTTGCTAGAATGGCTCTGAACTCAGGGAATCCCTTTACTTACTATTACCTGTTTATTATAAAGGACATTATAAAGAATACAAATGAATAGCCAGATGAAGAGGCCATGGGGTGAGGTCTGTAAGGGTCCTGAGCACAGGAGCTTCTGTCCCTGTTGAGTTGGGATGTGCCAACCTCCCCGCTTGTAGATGTGTTCACCAATCTGGAAGGTCCCCAAACCCTGTAGTTCAGGGGGTTTTATGGAGGTTTCATTACAGGGACATGATTGATGAGATCATTAATCATTAGCCATTGGTGATTAACTCAAACTCCAGCCCCTCTGTCTTCAGCTACCAGTCATCTCATTAGCATACAAAAGACCCACCTCATTGTAAATGACAGGGATTTTAGGAGTTCCATGAAAGGAACCAGGGACAAAGAATAAATGTATTGTGTATTATTGCATCACAGTGTCACATCTGTTAAAAGATGAACAGAGGCATATTAAAAATTTGAAAAGTTTATTTGAGCAAAAATCGATTCAAATAGGGCAGCACCAAACTGAAAGTTGCTAGGGGCGTTTCACTGACAGGAGCTAAGAAGAAGACTTCTATAGAGGAGGTGTGGAAACAAAGAGAGGAAATTACGATCGTTGACTGTTTATAGCCTAAAGCCTAATTGGCTGTGATGGGTTATCCTTAGCGTTTTTCATTTTATAACCTTGAAAGCATTTACACGTTTAGATTTTGGTTTGCTTACTTACATAAGCCACCACAGCATTAGTGCCACCTCAGTCTAATGGCCCCTGTTTAATTAATTTAACATATTGGGGCCAAGCCCCTTGTGATTTTAATGCCTCTAGTACTTTTGGCTGCTAGAATAATTAAGCAATTTAATTGTTAATTATGCCTTTGTTCACATGTTAACTGCTGTCCTTCCTCAACTCCTTTTTTTCTCATAATTTTGTGTTGCTGATGTACCGTTTCTGTGTAAGCAGGAGGAGATCATTTCAGGGTCTTGAGGAGAATTTATGAGTTTGTTTTGCAGAAGGAAAGAATATCTCCAAGGTAGCTGCGACCAGCTGCTGGCGCCCAGGAGTCTGATATGAAAAAGTGTTATTTATGACTAAAGAAACAAAGACTTGTCTCTCAGTTCCCTGGAACTTCCCTCTTCTCTACTCCCCAGCTGCATAAAAACTCCCTATGTTTGCTTTTTGGGAGAGATGGATTTTAGAGATTTTGCTCTCCCATCTTCTGGCTTTGGCAAAATCGAATAAACCTTTCTCTATCTCCAAGCACCGGTGTCTCACTGTTTAGGCTGGCTAGCGCATCGGGCACACGGACCTGAATTTTGGGAGATCATTCTGTAACAATACTATATGATCCAGCAACCATGCTTCTTGGTATGTGCTCAGAGGAGTTGAAAACTTATATCCACACAAAAAGTGACACACAAATGCTTATAGCAACTTTATTCATAATTGCTAAAACTTGGAACCAACTAAGATATCTTTCAGTAGATTAGTGGATAAAATGTGGTACATCTGGACGATGAAATAATATACAGAGCTTAAAAAAGAGAGAGAGAGCTATCAAGCCATGAAAAGATGTGGAGGAAACTTAAATGCATATTACTAAGGGAAAAGGCTACATGTGGTATGATTCCAACTATGATTCCAGGGCATTCTGGAAAAGTCAAAACAAGGGAGGCAATAAAAAGATCAGTGGTTACCAGAGATTAGGGGAGAGGGAGGGATGAATAGGCAGAACACAGGGAACGTTCAGGGCAGTGAAACTATTCGGTATAGGTGCTACAATGATGGATACTTGTCATTATACATTTGTCCAAACCCACAGAATGTACAGCACCAAGCATGAACTCTAA